TGACTTTCTTGTATGCCAAAAATAGCAATTACATTTATCTCTGACAACTGGGATGTTGCAACCTTCCCACCTGAACCACTGGCTGCTTAAAAAAATTCGACTGGTCTGATTTGAATGGAAATAGAATGGAAATGCAAATTGGAAGTGTTTTCTGAGTGGCACTGTATAAGCAAACTGGTCTACATATAATGCATTTTGACTACTGGGTGAATAATATCATACCATTACAAAGCATCTAATTATTGTTGAGTGCATGAAAATTAGATCTGTATCTGTATGGGGAAATTATGTAACAAGTTTTCATTTCTCTTCTAGTTAAAGGGGAAACTACAGATGTACAGAGCTACTGACAGACATGAAAAAAACAGTGGTGGCATTTTATGATACAAGAATATTTCACCCTTATGCAAAGAAATCCTTATATATTGTCATCGATGTATTCAATTATTTAATATATATTAAAAATATATGCAATAATATATTACAATATATTGAGTAATAAGGAACTGCCACTTTTTAAATACTGAAAATAATAACAATATATTTTCTTCTATACATTGTAATGTATGTAATTTTGTATTCAGTAATACATGTAATAAAATCTAGTACCGTTCGTATATAAATATATTTGATATATATGTACTACAGTATCTCACAGAAGTGAGTACACCCCTCACATTTTTGTAAATATTTTATTATATCTTTTCATGTGACAACACTGAAGAAATGACACTTTGCTACAATGTAAAGTAGTGAGTGTACAGCTTGTATAACAGTGTAAATTTGCTGTCCCCTCAAAATAATTCAACACACAGCCATTAATGTCTAAACCGCTGGCCACAAAAGTGAGTACACCCCTAAGTGAAAATGTCCAAATTGGGCCCAATTAGCCATTTTCTCTCCCCGGTGTCATGTGACTCATTAGTGTTACAAGGTCTCAGGTGTGAATGGGGAGCAGGTGTGTTAAATTTGGTGTTATCGCTCTCACTCTCTCATACTGGTCACTGGAAGTTCAACATGGCACCTCATGGCAAAGAACTCTCTGAGGATCATTTCTTCAGTGTTGTCACATGAAAAGATATAATAAAATATTTACAAAAATGTGAGGGGTGTACTCACTTCTGTGAGATACTGTATATGTATTTACATACATGTATGTGAAACAAACAACTATGAGGGAAATGTATATGTGATGTGTGTGTGTATATATATATATAACATTTTCCATCCAATTGTCCAAAAAACCCTGAAATATACCTTACTATTTATTTTCAGTATAGGCACATTTTAATAGGCTACATCACATATATTTTCGATATGAAATGTGTAATGTAAACAATAAATTGAAATATCAGTAAGTTTATAGCTGTATCTAAACACGTGTTAACTCATGAAAGAGAAATTAAATAATCGAGTGCTTCATTAAAGCGAGGAAAAAATGTAGTGCAGGTTTGTCTTCATTGTGATATATTTACATACATGGTCCACGCAAATATTTCAGTACATAAAAAATGTATATAATAAAACAAAATATAAGCACTGTAGTTTCCTGTATGTAAATGTATCATTTAATATAGCTTTATATATTCCAGAATATTCTTATATGTTTTGTAAGGGCAGGAGCATTAGTGTCACAAGAGGTGTACTCTAGATTTCTGGTTGGTTGTTTGGAATATTTAAGACATGTATTTACATAAATATTTAAATAAATATGTATTTAAGATGCATTTTGAAACAAAAAGATAAAATAAGGCATTATTATTATTATGCCTATCGTTCTTATTATTATTTCATGCACCTGAAAATTACATGTTTAGCTTTAAGTGGCAAAAATGTATCCTGTTTAAACTGACATAGTTATAAGGTGTTCATTGATTCTAAATAACATGATGGTCATTCATTAGAAGTGCCAGGTGGACTGCATAAGGTTGGATAATAACACACATTCTTTTTTTGGTCAGTGAGGGTGTCAACAAAGAGTTCATGCACAGTTTGTCACCCTTAAGCCTTTGCAGCAGTCTATTTTTGGTACTGAAAAAAATTATAATAATTTTAAAGGCTCTGTAATCGGTTCATTCTAAGATATGGACAACCAGACAGGTGCAATTTTTGTGTAAGAGCCATTAAAATGGCCATTACGATCTCCGAAGACAGGAGAACAGATAGATCAACTTGTAACTTACAGAGCATTTAGCTTGTAGAGAAGTCTATCTCACATCTCTACTCTATGAATATTAATCTAAAAAGCTTGAGATGGTTGAAAAAAATGAAGGCACATTTATTCAGCACTAGATCATCCAGTAAATAAACAGACACAAAAACTACCCAGATAACAATAGTTTATGCTTACATCTGGCACTTCTGGTTAGCGTCAGATGTGACTGTGGTTTACAGTAACACAGAACAGACTTTTGACTAAAGCATTATTCTCAACATGAACTGTTCGATTTCACAGGAAAAGGATGATCCAATACTGTATAGAAACCATCAATCATTGTTCCTTTTTTTTACATGACAGGCAGGCACATTTTAAAATAGATAGGCTGTCATAGCTTATTCCAATAATGGCACAACAATCTGAGCAATTGATTGTATTGACGACACAGAAGATTTTTATGTTCAGTGTGTCTCACACAGAACTTCTTTCCATTTGAAAGCACAAATTTACAGACAATAAAATTCATTTTGACAGAATGCAGTTATGACCTAATTTTTAAATAACAAATACTATAGCAGCACTATTTCATCTCTGTGCACTGAGATATCTACAGATGCATTACTGCATCAAGCAACCTCAGATTCCGCAGACTTTAAGACTATAACATCCTGCTGCAATGTCAGAACATAACAAGGGCTTTATGTCAAATCTATGATGTGTTAACCTCGCAGGTACTGTATTAAATGTGTTTCGGCACTACTACATGACCGGTTGACAAAACAGGAAATCATAACTGAGCAACAAAGGAACCTAATAAGGATGATTCAAGATCTGAAGACATCAGAGAGATCACAGCTGCTAGTGACTTCTTAAAAAGCATTAACGTTAAACTAAATAAAATGTCAACAGAACAACCATACCACAACACTGAAAACTAACTAACAAGCACCAAATGTGAGTAAAAATTGGCTTTGGTAATTGGATAACACAGCAACTGGCAGCAGTTTTAGCAATTGCAAAATAATAAAGGGGTTAAACCCCAATGTGCAAGCAAGTCTGATTACCATTACATTTGTTCTGATGTATCTAAATGAGTAAATCAAGCCAAAGAAATACAAACAGACAGACACTAGGTGTCAAGCTAAAAATCTTTTTTTCCCATTATAATTGTCACGGAAACGGGTGTGTGGAGGCAGGCAGGACGACGAGGACGACAAGGATTCCAATAATGACATTTATTGTAGACACAACAAGGCAGGTTCAGGTAGGTGAGACACACACTCGGGGTAACATTAACAATCCTTCCTGGGCTATACTCGGGAACAGGAGCCCTTCCTGGGCTATACTCGGGAACAGGAGGCCTCCGTGGGCTGAACTCGGGAACAGGAGCCCTTCCCTGGGCTGAACTGGGGATAAGGAGCCCTTCCTGGGCTGAACTAAGGATTCCAATAATGACATTTATTGTAGACACAACAAGGCAGGTTCAGGTAGGTGAGACACACACTCAGGGTAACATTAACAATAACCGACACCAATGCTCAGACAGACAGGAACTAATATGGGGTGAATAATTAGAGGCAGACAGGTGAGCACAATGATGGTTATTAACTAATGATTAGACGGGCTAAACCAACACAAAGGGAAGAAACCACAACAAACAGTCCACAGGGGCGTTACAATAATGGGGCAATATAAAAATAAATAATAATGCAAATATAAAAAATAAAACAATCTCTAAAATAATATAACAAGTAAAATACACTTTAAGGTTACTACTTCCAAAGATTTTGTTAAATGCAAGCTTATTTAAAATACTCTAGATCTGTAGAATAGGATGTTAGTCTCTTGACTATAGCTCTCTAAGTACACATGGGAAATACTTTAATAAGCGCAGGTTACAATGTCAATCACTGAAAAACAGACTGTCAGCAATATGCACAAAACTGCAGCAATTTGGATGCGCATATCCATATGAAAAGAGAAACCAGAAATTCTGGTAACTCCCGGGTAATGGGGCACAATGAAAATGTATACACACTGGCAAACAAATTTGTGAACAGGATAATAAAGTAAATCACCTGCCTAAGCCTTCACTGAATCCCATGAAATCACACAGTAAATGATTATATTTTAAAACTCTACATAAGAAACCAAGACTAAACAGAGTGAAGGAGGTAGCAGAGAAGAGAAAAGGAGTAAATTAGTTATATGAGGAGGGCTCGAACTCTAGAGAGAGCTGATATCCTTGACAGAAGTCTCATGATCTATATCACGGATATCTCTCGTATCTAATCCTGTTTAGACTGATAGCAAGAGCCCTAAGAGGAAATTACTGACTGAATTGCAACAACAACAGCAAAACTAAGGAGAATTACACCATCGTGACAAGCAAAAATGTCAACGTAAGGGAAGGAACTTTCTTCAGAGAGTTGAGCACATGTTTCCTCAAGGCTGATTGGGCTAATGCAGGAATCATGTCGCTTGTCCCTCTCCTGAATTTTTCATCCATTCTCTGGCCAAAATAAGACTCGGCATCAGATGGGACAGACTATGATGTAACAGGAAAAGAAAAGGACGTAGAAAGCGGGGAGAGAGAAATGAGGCAGATCTCGAATTGAGATGGTGAATAACTGCATCGTTCTACTGTCTGTTGCCCCAGCATGGAGGTTAGACATAGATGGATGGGGCTTAATTTCCTCTTTCCAAACAAATCGTTTAGCTGTTAGCTGTCTCTAAGACTGAAGGAGGCATTATAAAATTTTGCTCAGAGTCACCAAACCAAGAGATGATTTTCAAGCCAAACAAATAATCCTGGTAGCCAATCATAGCCTGTGCTACTCACCACGCTGAAGTCTTCACTCGAGCAGTTCTGCCCGCTGAAGTTGCAACTCTTCAGCATGTCTTCCAGCTGGTGGCCAGTCCTCTGGAAAATGTCTAGCATGTCAGGGGGTGGGTACTGGAGCTCACTTGGCCGGTGTCCTTTCCGGCTCTTAGGCGGCAGGCCGGTGAGGTTAGCCAAGTGGTAGATGTCCGCGTCGGTGAGGGCTGAGAAGCGGAATCGGTTGACGTTGCAGAGCGTGATGGCCGGGAAGGTGAGCTCACGGCGGGTTTCTTCCCTCATAGCTGCGAGGTGGGGTCGCTCTAGATAAGTCGCCGTGCTCCATGTCGCCTGGTACAGGAAGAGACCAAGCGAGGCCAACAGTGCCAGTCCCCAGAGGGTCTGTCTGAAGCCCAAGCGCCCCGAGGTCCCCAACACCCGAGCCAGACCGTGCAGCGAAGAGGAGCTTGCAAAGGACGCCAGGTCAGCCATGCCTCCTTTTTGCCGCGGAAGGCCATCTAGCATAACGGTTCCGCCTCCTTCTGTCGAGGCCCCCTTGGCTTCGTCGCCCTCAGCAAACTTGATTTTACAAACAAATTCGATGGGCATGTGGTTGGCCAGGGCTGTCCTTTGCAAATGACTCTGATTCCTCCTGCTGATCTCTCCCTGAGCCTTTGCTCTTTTCCGTTTCACCAGTTATATTCTACCACGCTGTGGCTGTTAGAACATTTTTTTCCTAAATCTTCTTTCTCTGAGGTTGTTATTCTCTCCCGGACCCAGCTACGTTCCTATTTATAACAAATATTTCTCTTTTCAGTTTCACATTTATCAGCTCTGCATTCCTCACTTCATCTCTGTTTCAGTTTTCTGAAATTATGTTTCAGATTTCTTCACTTTTTCTACTCTGACCATCAGTCTCTCCTACCTCCGCACTTTTTCTTCAGATTCCCATCTCTCTCTTCTTCTCTTCAATCCTTTGCTTCCACTCTCTCCTTCTTTTCTCCTTGGTTTGTGCTGTGGTCTGCTGCTGTTTGAGGAGCAGAGTGCAGATGGTGAGAGGAGGTGCTTCGCTCGCCTTGTCAGTGCCCCAGGATGTGCCACAGCCGTAGACTCCAGAGAGAGAGTAGAGGTATGAGCTGGAGACTATGAGAGAAAGATGAGAGAGACACACACACACAAGTGAGTTCCACAGCTCTCCTCAGCTGCTCGCTGACGGCTGACGTAGATGCTGCCTGAACTCCTCTCGCACACTCAGGGAAAGAGAGTGAGAGAGCGATGGAGAGAGTAAGGGAACCGGAGAGAGCACTGATATGAAAGACAGGGAGAACAAATGCTGCCCTCTCTACATGCCCTACAAGAAAGAGGAGGGGAAGAGAGAGAAGTGGAAGTAGAGATATTTAATATTACATGAGCAGAGAAGGCAGGGGTTATTTCCCCTTCAGTGGAGAAGAGCCGTCCCAACCCACACTAAAGCTTTTATTTCTCTCACAGCAGCAGGTTGTTACATCCACTTACAGCGGTCACTCACTGTCTCCACCACAACACTCTCTTTCTTTTACTCTCCGTGCTCTTTCTTTATCTTTCTTTTACTCAGCAGGTGTGAATGTGACTGCACTGTAGGTAAAGTGGGGTGCAAGAATCCGCTTGAGAAAATGCATCACATTTGGTACGTCCTTCATGGTTTAAAGACACCACACTCAGCAAGTATGTTGCACAAATAAGGCTCACAACATGGTTTGTGAAAAGCACCATATAAATAAAAGTTGACTTGATCCATGCTTTCCAGCATGATTTGGCAATGTTCAAAAGAGCTTCTTGTGCTTTAACGGAGGCAAAAAAAACAAACATCTGACCATTTATACAAAGAAGTCCATATGGTGAATGTCAAAAATGTGTTTGATATGTTATGGTTAGCAACACAAGAATTTATAACTATTCTGTACAATTTACACATACATTTTTGTAAATTTGGACTATAGATTAATTGAATCTCAGTATAGATTAACTGAAAGCAGATAATGCTTAACAGCTTTAGAAATGTAAAACAACAACAAAAAATCCTTTATTATAATACTGTATATCTACTACATATAATACAAATGAATTTGTACAGGTACATGTTACAAAAATCTTAAGACACTAGTTTAATCCAAAATATAAAAAAAAAGGAATTGGAAGATCTTGTGCAATCATTTTAGTCACTATATAATATTATATACATGCTTTTGAACTGTTAATTCCATGAATCCGATATTATGTCAACCTATGATGATTTGCAAACATTTGTATGTCTCTAAAGTTGTTCATACGTAAAAGTTACATTACAAATGCTGTTAATATATGAATTTGGTATTTCTCAATGTCTAGGCAAATGTCTAGGTAGCTAGAACACACACTTTATACATGAATGTCTAATGATATTGCACTGAAACAGGGCAGAATGTTAAATATTTCTTTACTTTAGGTCATAACTTTTCTCTGTTTTACCATTTTTTAAATCCCAGTTTATCATTAGGTTTTTAAAAAAAAAAATCCTGTCAACTTTTTTAGCATCTGCTATATAAACAAATGTGAATGTATGTATCAAATGAAATGATATGCTGACTGTGTTTTATCTGTTTTTGAATATCTGCATTTATGTTCGTGCATGCACATGAGTCACTCTTCAAAAGTTGCATCTATTCCCAAGTTGTCTATTCCACTCTCCCCATGCGTGCTGTAGCCAAAGTGTTGTTTGTGCTGTTGTGTTAGAGAGTAACAATGTGAGACTAATGGTGGTGTTAATGAAGACCGAGAACATTGTAACGAGTGTGAGGCGACTCCTGAAGATCAATCTCCCTCCCTGCCGGAAAAAAGAGACTGACAGACCATTGATTAGATAGATGCGAGAACAAGTGATTAAGGAGTTGCGTGATCACACACAAACAAACGCACACACACATACCAAAGCTCAGCTGCACACTCTTAGTTTCTTTGGAAAAAGTCTACAAGTACATTAGATATGCATACCACAAAAATGAATGCAATAATCATCAATAGTCTTTTAAACTCAAAGATTCCTGACAAAAACAGAAATGAGAAGTATGAGAGAGAAAAGGAGCGATAAATAGTTAAGAACCATGAGGATGCTTTCTATGTACATAGTGAAATATAACACTGTGCTTAGAAAAGTGCTTTCAAACAACGTTGACTCGTCATCCGTCATCTAAAGGAAAATGCGTTGTGCAATATGCATTATATACAGTTCTGTACTACAACAAAACTGCCTACCTGACTTTTCTACTGAACAAATGCATCCATCTCAACAGAGAACGCATTAGATAATCGGAGGCCGCCGGGGTCTGCTTTCTGATGACCAGCTATTCAAAGGCAGCTCTGAGTTTTGAACAGAATTGGTCCTGTGAATCATAAAGTAATTTAGTCTGACAGCATTTAATTCATAGAAAAACACTGAGGTGGACCTTGGGGGTGAATTTTTGAGGACATTTTGACCGTGTCCCAATTTTGTTTAGTCTGAACATTAGAACAACTCTTGTCGACTTTTCTTTTGGAAAAAAAAAAAAGAGGCTGATTAGCAGCCTGTCTAACACACTCGAGACGTTCCAAAGCTTCAGTGGTGACAGACCTGAAGACAGAAAGTTCATCTTATATTCATGAAGAGATCTGAGAGCAAAAGAGAAGTGGTCCCATCATTTATCCTCGCTGTGAGGGGAATGTTACGTGTTGCGCTGCGGCATACAAACACGCAAAGACGTGTAACGAAGTCTTGACACACCAGGCGAATCTTTGAGTCTCACCAACCGTCTCATGAATTATTAATCTCCCCCCAGGAAGCAATGCTGACAGTGATCCACGCCTCTTCCCTCAACAAACACGTAATCATACACACACTCAGCTTGAGAAAGATTTAAGGTGAAAGTAAGTGCTGCTTCACTTCTCCTTCGCTCTGCTCTGATAGCGCCCCACTTCTGACTTCTTTCCACGCATCAACCACTCTAAGCCACTCCGACTGACAGAGAAGAAGTTTTAAATGCCTCTCACACATGATTTACTCTGCGATGACTCTCCCTGAACGGCTGTCCTCAAATATATTTGCTAAAAACAGAGTGAGAACATCAGATTTGGAGTGTGCTGTGTCTGTACTTCAGGTCTCAACAATGTAAATAAGAGATTAATGTAACGCTTTAGATTACAACCCGCAAAGAACTATGTAAGTATACGGAATTTACGGTGTACGTTTCTGTAATTATAGTGTACCTATAAAGAACATACGTGTAGGTATAAGGGAACAATGTGTTACGTTTGGGTAATAAGGGGGTAACAACCAGATATGCAACCTGCAAAGAACTGCGTAAGTAAACTGAAGTTACAGTGTAACTTTTTTGTAATTGGGCGTTTCTTCAACTAGGGGCACTTTTATCCTTGTTAAATTGAATACAAAAAACTTGTTCAAAAGTCACGTAACACAGTCTCATAAGTTTAAATAATTTGTCTAGTTTTAAGGTCTGTAAGAGGACAAACTTAGATTACAAGAGAAATTGTTAATATTTTACATTTTTTCCAACCTGCAATGAACAAATGTCATTTCCACCACATCTCAATATACAGCTGTTATTTAAAAATAGAATAACTTATGCCACTCAAGAATTGTCTAAGATCATTTTTGTAACTAGTTTTACCAGTTTTTCCACAATGTACAATAATTATACATTTGTCAATGAGATAAATTAACTGCCCTAAGGACCAAATGCTGAACTGTACACCTGTCACACTATGAAATGTAATATTGATTTGGGTAAGAGCTTATTAGAAAATAAACACCTTGAATTTTTATATTAAGTAGAGCATGATCTCATAAATTGTGGATACATTTTTAATGTGTGATGAGAACTTTTTAAATATTAAAAAAAAATGTGTGTGGTGATGGAAATAACAGGGTGTTGTGGAAATGACAATGAATTAACGTGAATGTAGAGAAACAGTAGAGATATTTATTAGAAAAATTCTTAAACTCATCACACTCATTAAACTCAATTCACAAAGTCATTAAACATAACCACACCTGTTTTTAGTGTAGTGCTGAGTTTGATGTATAAAACTGATTTGTCTCAAAGATAACGGTTACAGTGCATAACCGTTTTGATCCACGTCCTCAAGCACCATTTTGACTAACATATTTACCGCTCATCGGTCACTGCTCAATGTTGTGAGAACATACTCGGACAAAACCCTCCAGTTTTAAAAGAACACATTCCAGTCAGTTTCAAAAATCTCTCTCCTCTTCGTGTCGATTAGTTTTCTTGTATTTTCTACACATATTCCTGTCATGAGTGCCGCAAACACGGATAGACTCGTCTCATGCGCCATTCCAGCTGTTTCCAGTTCGCGCTCACCACATTCACTGCTGCAGTTTTAAAGGAACACACTCCAGACAGTTTCAAAGTTGTCCCTTGTCTGCGCTTCGATTCGTTTTCTCCTATTTTCCACACATGTTCCCGTCTTAAGCACCACATTCACGGATTTCGTCGCACACAGAGCCGTTCACGTTTGAACTCACATGACTTGCTGCATGCTCTCATTCACGTCCTCCACATTCATAACCCAGCAACATCGGGTTACTTATTACTGATAT